GGGTCATCGGATCCCAAGGCTCAGAGCCCAGACCAAGCGATGGAACAGCGGCTCGGCCGAAATCGGTCGGGAGACCGCTGGAATCGACCGCTGGAATTGAGAGACGCAACTGCGCCAGGTTCCAGGTGCACTACTTGGACCCTGCACATTGTTTTGTGTGTGGAAGCCCTTTTTGCTGATAGTGAGATATGACTTGCGTTGGGTTGCGCATGCAAAAAGAGCAAAAGGTGGGCTGTGGCCGGCTGCTCTGAGCCCAAAGATGAGCCAAGTTCAAGCGGTCGCTGGTTCAGAATCCCCCCCTCCCCCCCGCCCCCACCCTGTTTGCCATGCGTTTCTTGGCCTTTTTTTTGGCAGTGGCTTGACCAGATGTTCTTGGGTGCCGTGTTGGACCCTGGTTCGGGGGATAGAGCAACCATCCTCCAGCTGGGTTTGCCTCTGGACTAAGAGGCACTCAATGTGCTGGGTTCTATGTCTTTCTTTCTGGGGCTCATGGTTTGTTGTTGCTTGCCTTGCCTTCACAGGTCCACAGCCAAGTTTGCAGGGGGGAATTTGGGGTCACCAAATTCGCAAAGCATTGAATAGGTGCTCGGATATGGGTGTGTCTATGTTTTAGGGGACCCTTTCAAAATTGTGGTTTTACTTTTGCGGTTTCCGTTGGGATTCGGGTTCCCCAAGAAAGACCCATATGGTGAACTATTGCTGAAGAGAGGCCAGTAGTTTAGTTTGGTGAACTATGTCCTGCATTGCAAAAGAGAATCCAGCGCGGCCTTCTCAAGAGTTGCACTTTTTCTTTTTTGCCTGTACCTGGCACCAATCGCTTGTTTTCTGATCCTCCTCCCAATGGCCGAGATGCGACCTGCACCACCTCCATCTCCTATTGCGGGTTCGTGCAAGCTCAAATTGCCGTTCCCAGACATTCAGTTGCATCCGTGCTTCCCATTTTTCAGTTGGGCCGCTTGGTGGCGCACATGTTTCTCTTTGCCCGCTTGGTTTCCCCACCACCCGGGTTCCTGGAGGGACATCCCAAAGTGGTGTCCTTTCGACTGTGCGCCCTGAGGATGCTCGGCATGGGCTTCCCCTTCGACCTTGCGAAGGTGTCGTTGGAGGCACTGCGGTGGGGGGTTGGGATGTGGCTCTATGGGGAGCGTCTTGCTTTCTCAAGGCCAGCCATTGGAACAGTTGGGCTTCGCCCCTTTGACCGTTCATAGCTGGACTGAATCAAGAACTCAGTTGTGCAGCTTTGGAGTTGAGCCAGGCTGGGACGTTGCTCCCCTGGTTCTGTGCAGGCGGTGTGAAAGCAGGGTAATCTGTGAGCCCGATTTCTTGGTGAGTTTGTGTTTGCTACGGCTTCAAGCACACCAACCCGGGGCTGTGCTCAAAACTGGCCAGCTTCTTGGAACACTTGCGACGTTTTGGCCATCGCTGGAAGATGCGATTTTGGGGCCCTCAGGCAGAAAGCTTGAATCCCAGATCCCAGGAATGGGTATTCCTTTGGCTTGTGAGAGCCCTCCCACTCGAGATTTGAGCCTCAAATGAAAAGGCGCAGAGAGGAGCCCTGTCAGAGGATGGCCAACGGCATAGTTCCATGTTTGTAAGGGCGCCCAGAAGGGCGCCAACCCCAACAGGGTCTAAAAGCAGCCAATCTGGTGTGCCGGGATCCCCGCGGAGGAGTTCTTGTTGACGGCCGTAGTTTGCCACCCTCTCGCATCAACATATTTCCCAGTCGTTGCGCACATGGGTGGTTTGTCTCCAAATTTCGGGTCCGTTTTTTGGGCAGTTCTTTTCCTTGAGCTTCCCTCCTAAATTTCCTTTTGGGTCTCGAAGTCTTGGAGCTCCAAATCCTTGTTGTGTGTCTCGGGTTTGTGTGTTGGGTTCCCGGGCCGCCTGCAATAACCGGGCCGACCAATACTCGGGGAAAGTCGGCCCGGACCGGACACCAGGCCCATGGCTGGGACGCCTCCCGGGCGTCCATGGCGATCTTGGAGGGCAGGGACCTCCAGGCGAGGAGTTCTCGCCATGGCATGTTTGGCAGCTCCAACAGTCCCCTTTTTGTTTTTTTTGTTTGTTTGTTTTTTTTTTTGGGGGGGGCGAAGGAGGCCATGGCTCGGTTGGCAGATCTGCAGTCTGGAGAGAGAGAGAGAGAGAGAGAGAAAAGGAAAGGGCGCAGTATCCTGGTGGTCCTAGTTTGAGAGTTGTTTTGGTCCTAGTTTGCCTTTGGAGTGCTCAAAGCCCAAGTTCTTTCACTTTTTTCCCAAGGAAGGCCATGTTTTTTCCAGCAATCTCATTCAACACGTGACAAGGCTTCATGCGAAAAGAGGAATGCGCCCAGGTAGAGAGCGCCACGGCCTCCACAGACACTGAGGAGTTCCAAGTTAGGAAATAGGCCTCGGCCCCAAAGGGGCCCGCCGCCCGCCGCCCGCCGGTGCCACGCGCGGCACGCGGAGGTTTTCCGTTTTTGTTTTTGCCGCGCATGGACCCGGGTAGTTCTGAGCAACGGCGAACAGTAGATTCTTCTTAATTTGTTTGCCCCTTCATTGACCCTTCCAAGCACAGCAACCTGGAAAATGCAAGTTTACATTTTTCAGGTTTTTTCCAAGATATGTCCCAGCTCCTGTGCACCACCCTTTCAAACATAAAACACATGTTTATCTCAAGTTGCAGGGCCTCTGTGAACGCGTTTAGTCATCCCGTGCAAATGAGTGTACTGCAGAGAAGCTTTCAACTGGTGAATTGGAGCCACGTGAACAACACGTGAATATTGCTTTGTCCCATGAGGAAAGCTCGGAGTGATGCTGGGTCCATGGCAGAGCCGCGCTATGGAGTCGTTCGTGGAGGCCGCGCTTGCTTGAAATTCTTTCGTGAAGCTCGCAAAGCTGCCAAGATAAGCTGGCCTGTGTGGCTGCTGTGTGTTGTCGCTTGGGCTGGGTGTGCCACTACAACGGACGCAGTCGCATTGCGAACCTCCGAGCGCGCTGCGTCCGGACTTTTGCTTTGGTCAAGGACAGTGCAGGCCGAGTCGGCGAGTCGGCAAACCCCTCTTGTTTACCCGTTGGAAGCAAGGCAGGACACTAGTGGCTCCACGTACCAAGAATCTCATCTGCTTCGTTGGAAGGGTTGGCTGGCATAAATGTGTGTCAGTGCGTGGTGTTGGCGTGTTGGTATGTGTTTGGTGCGCATTTGGACCATGTTGGCTTGCTGAGTCCCGGTTTGTTCTCGACCGACTCGGGCATTTGGGTGCCCAAGGCACCCGCACGACCCGACATTGGCGGGGACAAGGTGTTTAAACTGTTTGGACATACCGGACTATTTGGATTCGACATGCATCATGTTGACATGCGACTGACAGTCAAACAGCGAAAGTTGTGTCTAGTAGAAATTCATAGGATGTATTATTTGTTCTAGAGGTAAGGGCAGTAAACATAACACACACAACTCTGTGTTGGGTGTCGAGCTGGTGTCTTCACGGCTGAAAAGCATGCGTTGCAACCTCCACGCATCCCGACGCCCTCACCCACCCACCCCGAGAAGAGGTTTCCGTTCGGAATCCTATTTCGCTAGCTTGGCCCCTTCGGTGCCTTAGGGTAGCAGCAGAAACTCATCATGGCCTGCAGATTTGGATACCTTCACGAGGCTCCGGACGTGAGGATGGGACAGGTTGAACCAGCTGTTTAAAATGGAGCAGTTCTCCCTGTCTCAAATTGTATGCTGTATTGTTTGTATTTGTTTCATTCTTGGAGACGCAAAAAGACAATTGAGATGATTTGCACCAGCCTTTGTACCAATTGCTGCCCCGAGAACACCGACACTGGCCCTCAGGGTACAGTCGAGAAAGGACGGCAAGTAATGCGGATTGCGGTCCAGCAGGCAGATGTTTGGCCTTTCCAATTCAATACAGTTCTTCGTTCGTCAACCCATGGTCAGGGCAGAGCCTTGTCCCAATAAGGGAAAGGCAAGCCCGCGGATTTCAGGGCCCATTGAGGCAGCAATAACGACAGCTCGGCCACATGTGCGGGCTGAGATGTCTTCTGGCCGTGGTTTGTGCCATGCGCGCCATTCGAAAGACTTGCGCGGCCCGTTCCCATTGTGTCCTGCGGGTCCTTTGCGGTTCTTTGTTTCTGTTGGGCATGACAAAAGCGATACTTGCCATCACTTCTCTTGCCGGGCGGTGTAAAGTGCAGGCAGTTTAGATCTTCGCAATTCCCACCGCACAGCGGTGAACAAGCTTCCGAAAGTTTTGGGCAAAGTGCATCATGTTTGCAGGTACCAGTCTTCTCATGAAGCAGCAGTTTGATGGTTGAAGGTGCTGGGCTAGTCATCAGGATGAGACCTGTCACCCGTACCTGGTAGGAGCTGAATACGCATGTGTTGGTTTGGATTTCGGTTTGCAGTAATGACCTTGCCGCAGCATTCATGAAGTGAATGTCGATGAGCTGTTTGAACAGTACCAAGATGGTGCACCCCCGTATCAAACTTCAGGTCACGTCGGATTGCCAAGTTTCATTCAGGGCATCCTCAACACAGCATCGGCCTAAAGCCCTTAGCCGCGTCAAGCGTCTGCAGGCTGATGAATTGCACGAGCTTTTAATGTTGCTTTTTCATTGGGCCATTTGTTGCCGCAAGTTTGCTCGGTTGTCTTGATACAGTTGATGTGGTCACGTGGTGCTGGGTTTCCCTTCGCTCCTTGAAACACGGCCTCCCACAATACGCAGAGTGCCAATCAAAGTGTGATACTTGGGTGACCTGATAGGCGCCTTTCAACCGCTCACAGGCAGACTCGCGAATGGAAATCCATCTTTGTGGCGGGTGTGAAGATTGTGACTTCCAATGCTTCTTCTTTCTGGCGCCTTGAGCACTGAAAGAGTTCAACCCCTTTGGGCCGTGCCTTCGGGATGGATGAGCCATAAGCCCCCCGTATTCACGGAGTGCTGTTTCGCTGCGCTGAGTCAGCACCAGAACGCTTCTGCCAACTGGGCTCCTTCGATCGAGACGTTTTCTCCAAGGCGGCGCCGACTGGAAGATGGTGGCCGGAGGTGGGGTCTGGGACTTCGGGCCTTGCGTCCAGGAAGCTGTCTCTCGTTTGGAGGGTACCTCGTTTGGCTGTTTTGAGAGGAAAGCACCAGGACAACCACTTGTTTTTTGCCCCCGCGGAGGGGGGGGTCCCCGAAGAAAAGACACACTCACATATTCGTCAAGCGTCTTGATCCCAAGCTTCTGCAACATGGCCGGTATGGTTTGACGACATTGGCAGGAGGTGAAAGACCGATATGGTCAGAGTCCCTGCCAGACGTGTTGAGCTGAATGAAAGAGCTTCTTCTGGAGATGCTTCACTTTTCTCTCAATGCTCAAGCAGCATCCGCGTGGAGCAAACTCATGTACCAAGCCACAGCAGCTTTTGACAGCCCTTGGCAGGATGCATTTTGGTGGCATCTTGCTGCAAAATGGTTCACCTGTCATGCAAATCCGGGACTAGAACCTTTTTGGTCAAGTAACACATGCGGTGAAGCTTCCCAATGCACCCTCCCCATGCCCCACAAGAAGTCTAGAGCATCGAAATGATGGCCGCATCAACCCACCACGCACTGAACGTATTTGGCACGGGCCTCCTGCTCAATGTGCAAGACTTGCCTCACTGTCCATCAGTCAGTCAGTCAGTCAGTCAGTCAGTCAATCAATTAATCAATCAGTCAGTCAATCAATGAATCAATGAATCAATGAACCAATGAATCAATGAATCAACACAGCCCCCAAACACCGACCCATGACGGTTGGTTCCGAGTTGGGGGAAGGTTGACCCTTTTTCATCCCTCCACCCAGTTGATCGCAACCTCCAAAAAGGAGGTTTTCTTGAACTGCAATTGGATGCAAAGTTCTTGGCCCTGCATTAAATTAGCTCCCCTTGCTACGGCTGTTCGGATGTAAAAACACCCAGCTCCCCGCCCATGCTCTCGCCAGTTTCCAGTTTCGGGTACCTGGTTTTAGCTGTTTCTTGGCCATGTTGCCTCGTGGCTCTGTGCCCCCCCCCAAAAAAAAAGAAAGAAAGAAAGAAAGAAAGAAAGAAAGAAAGAAAGAAGAAAACAACAACAACACCAAACAAGCACAAACACGAAAACACTGGTAGGGGGTCCAAAGGCGAGGGAATCCCCCCAATCTAGGAGCCCCCTCAGCCGGGAACCGCGATGTGAGGCCTGGTGGAGTGCCAGGAGGTGCCGCCGCTGGTGGGAGCTTTGGCGAAGTTGATAGGCTTGTTGGCGCTCAAAGGCGTTCCTTTCGGGAGGGTCTGTCAGCAGTCTGAGTGTCTGAGCCAGGCTAAACTGCCAAATGCGGAGGCAAAGCTACTGTTTCACCCAACCGAACTTGGATGTTCAACCCAACTAAGGTCTTCTCAAAATGACGGCCTTTTTGGTTTGCAAAGGGCGGCCAAGCATTTCAGGGGACCGATCCCTATTTTGAGAAACACCCGCATGAATGTTCCCTTGTGCCATTGCCCCCTTCTTTGTTGATACCTCTTTTTTTCTGTTTGTTTTTTCTTTTCCTGTTTTTTGGGAGGGGAGTTGGGGGGGGTAGGAGGGTCTCCAATGTTCTCAACAAATTGAATTGGAGCCCTTGAATTAGCATGTTGGGCAGGAACCGTTTCTCAACATGGTCTCTTGCAATCTTTTCTGGGTTGCTGTAAGGGAATCTCCAGCGGGATCCATTCATTTTTGGGTGTTATTGGAAGAGAAGCCCATATCACCCGCTGCAGCCACGGCCGAAGCTCCCAGCACCTCGCACTCGAACCGCGCCATGCTGGCCGCCATTCTCCTCCTCGCGCCCGCAGTGTTCGCATCGGCTGCGAACCGCAGCGCAGGGGTGGCGCATCCGGTGGAGGCGTAGTGATAGTGGAACACAGGCTCATCAACCCTGGTTGCTTGATTTGTGGGGCTTGCACTTTAATGTTGGAACTTGATTAATAAAGGGCCCCCACCCCCTCCCCCTCAAACAATGGAGGCACTCGAATTCTGTAGGCTCACTTTGGGGCGTCCAAACAATGGAGGATTTTGGGGCCCAATTCTACTTTAGTACTGCAGCCACTTCCTTCTTGGAATTCTACTTCAGCATTGCAGGCACTTCTTCCTGAGCAGACTTTTTGGAGTACCACTTTAGCATTGCAACCACTCCTGAGCATACTTTTTGGAATACTACTTTAGTATTGCAACCACTTCTTCCTGAGCAGACGTTTTGGAATACTACTTTAGTATTGCAACCACTTCCCTTTCAGTTCTTTCTGTAGCCATTCAAAGGGAGTGCCTTTCAGCCAGAGATGGCTTTATTTTCTGGAGGGGGCTGGGGGCTTGCAACTAATGTGGTCCCCCTAAAGACTGCCATTGTTGTGGTTCAGTAGGGTCTGTGAGGGGTACCCTTGTCCTGATTGTTTCTCATTTGTGAAACAAGGTTTAATAAAGAATTTGCAGTTTCAGGGCTGGGATGGGCTGGGTATGGTTTTCAAATTTCAGAGGTTTCAGCTGGCTTTGGGTTTTGCGTCGGGCAACCAATTAACAGGGGAATGCTTTTAAGCAAGTTGGCCACCAATTGAAAGGGGAATGCTTTTAAGCAAGTGGGCCACCAATTGAAAGGGGAATGCTTTTAAGCAAGTGGGCCACCAATTAAAAGTAAAGAAACTGACAGTTTATTTCTGGGCCTGCGGCCTCTAGCCGGCTACGCCTCTTTGAAGTTATACCATGTCATGTCATGTTTTTGTATGAGAAACGTATCCTGTGCTGATATATGGCTGGTTAGGTTATGCACGTTGCCCACCCCAACCCCAGATGATGCCGGGGATGCCAGCTTTCTGGGCCCCAGCCGGGCCCCAACCCAGAAGGCTGACATGGGGTCGCGCGCGCGCGCGCCACAGGCCCCAGAAACAGCAGCCCAAAAAGAGCAGCCCACAAGCCAGCCCGGAAACGCAAATGCAACAACACACCGTAAATCGCAGCGTTTTGTGGCTGGGGTCGCGCGCGCGCGCCAAAAGGCGCGAAAACCAACGGGAAAAAAGCAAGGACCGCGCAGCGCGCGAGCCAGCCACAGCAAGAGAAAAAAAACTGACAGAACAACAGCCCAAGGCTCAGCACAGCAGTTTTGGCGGTATTTACAGCGTTTTAGCTACCTTCTAAAAAACAGTGCTTCATGGGCTGAGAGGCTTTTTGGAAGGAAGTCTTGATGATGCAGACCAAGCCCCGCTGAAGCATCACCCAGGCCCAACCCCAGACCCTGACGATGTCAGCCACATGGCCTAAACCCTTCATATACGCGATGTTTTACGAGGGTTTCCCACAGGCAGGCAAAACCGTAAGCCCGAGCTGCAGGTGATGCAGAGGTGCCGGATTTAGGCAGCGCCGGGTCGGCGGCACCAGGGTGCAGCCCCAAAGCTAGCAGGCTAATTGCCTAGCGGCGACATGCTACCCCAGGAGGCGCAGCCGGATTTACACGCTGACGCGACACAGCCGGCCACCGGGCACCTTGCCCTTCCCGTTCTTTTATTTCCTTTTCCTTGAATTCCCGTTAGCTTCCGGGGTTTGAACTTTTTTGCTTCCTTTGCATGTCTTCCCTGCATGTCCGACAAATTTTGGCATTTCCCTTCACTTCCTTTTCCTTGAACGCCCCTTCATTCGCATTCCTTTCCCTTAGTTCATTGTAGTTCCCGCGACTTCAACCTCGCTTCACCATTTCTCTTCGTTTCCCATAATTTCACAGTTACCGTTCTCCGGTTCCCTTCGCGTTCTGCCCTTGCATTTTGCTCACTTCCAGTCACTCCTTTTCTGCACTTTTCAGCCCCTTGTTTCGCATCGCCAGCATGCATCACATCATCCGCATCATCCGGGATGATGCTGGCAATGCTGGGGGCGGACTCGTTTTTGGGCGCTGCGGATCCTTCGCCCCTTATAAGGGCGGGTCCGGTGGCCGGATTTAGCAGGCTGACGCCTGATGCCGACCCCCGTAACATCATCATCATTAGCATGAGCATCATTATCATCATCTGTCATCATCATCCTCAGCATCAGCCTCAGCATCCCTTGGCCAGTAGCGGGGCGAGCAGACTGCGCGTTTCTTGTTACGGCAGAGTTTCTGGCTGCAGTGGTGGTGAAGGGTGCATGGCTATGGCGAACGAGCAGTTGTTGGAGGCGGCGGCGGCAGCCTTGCTCGAGCGGGAGCTGGCGTCAGTGCCTGCTTGCATTGTCACGGAGGAGATGAAAGAGCTTCTGCGGCCGAAGATGAAGAGCTGTGCCTTGAAGTGTACGGGGAAAAGTCTCGACTGACTGGGTCAGACTTGCGCGACTGACCGCGCTGCTACTTTGCTTACCTTGCAGGCAAGGGGCTTCAAAGGCAGGGGGCCAGGGCGTCGTACGTGGCAATTGTGCGGGCTTGCAACCCTGATGAGCGCGAGTGAACTGCCAACACTTGCAGCTATTTTGTCTGCTCAAGCTGCTCTCGCCACGTCGGTTTGCCCAACATGCCGCGCCTTTGCCCAGGAGTCCCGAACATGGCATGCCTTTTCAGCACCGCGGCGCCAGGCATCCACACGCAGCCGTTGCGCGTGTGGTGCGGGGAGCAGCGGCTCATGCTGGCTGCGGAAAAGAACCGAGGCTTCCTTGCGCGCACGCTGAAAAAGCAACCAAAGCAATTCCCTCCCCTTCCGCAGCGGCCATCCTCGAGCGCACCGGGCGCCAAAGGAGTTTGGCCTTGCTGCAGCGGTTGGGGCGGACGGCGCGAGGTCATCCATAGACAAGAAGAGCTCCGGGCCCGCGTGGAAACAGAAGAGGACGGTCTTTGCCAAATTGAGCGGAGCAGCTTAGTAGAGGAACCTTTTCGCTTTTTCACCACGCCCGCAGGCCAGAACTTCCTTATGAGTTCTGGCCCCGTAAGTCAGCGTTGACTTTGCATCCGCATGATGCAGCCTGGCGCCCAGAGCGCAGGAACGCCTTGCAACCGCGCTGAAGAGGGGGCGAACTTCCCGTCATCTTCCCGTCATCTTCCCGTCATCTTCCCGTCATCTTCCCGTATACAGTCTTGCGTCATCTTCCCGCACTCTTTCGTCATCTTCCCTTCAGCTTCCCGTAGTCTTCCGTCATCTTCCCGTAGTCTTCCGTCATCTTCCCGTAGTCTTCTGTCAGCTTCCCGTCATCTTCCTGTAGTTTTCGAGTAGTCTTCCGTCATCTTCCCGTAGTCTTCCGTCATCTTCGCGCAGTCTTCCGTCATCTTCCCGTCAGCTTCCCGCAGTCTTCCGTCATCTTCCCGTAGTCTTCCGTCAGCTTCCCATAGTCTTCCGTCATCTTCCCGTACTCATCTGTCATCTTCCCGTAGTCTTCCGTCATCTTCCCGTATTCTTCCGTCATCTTCCCGTAGTCTTGCGTCATCTTCCCGCACTCTTCCGTCATCTTCCCTTCAGTTCCGTCAGTCATCTTCCCGTAGTCTTCCGTCATCTTCGTGTAGTCTTGCGTCATCCTTCCCGTAGTCTTGCGTCATCTTCCCGCACTCTTCCGTCATCTTCCTTTCAGGTTCCCGTGGTCTTCCGTCATCTTCCCGTAGTCTTCCGTCATGTTCCCGCAGTCTTCCGTCATCTTCCCATAGTCTTCCGTCATCTTCCCGTAGTCTTTCATCATCATCATCCATCTTCACGGTTAGAGGTTAAGATTAGAGGTTAGGGTTAGAGGTTAGGGTTAGAGGTCAGGGTGAGAGGTCAGGGTTAGAGGTTAGAGGTTAGGGTTAGAGGTTAGAGGTTAGGGTTAGAGGTTAGGCGTCAAAAATCCGCCGCGGGACCACCACTTAGAACACGCCTCGCCCTTTGCAGAGACTAACTTGGCTTTTGCAAAGGGGTCGGCTGGGGGAATGTGGCTGCCATTGTGGTTCAGTGGGGTTTGTGAGGGGTACCCTTGTCCTGATTTTTTCATTTTTTAAACACGGTTTAATAAAGAATTTGCAGCTTCAGGGCCGGGAATGGTTTCAATCTTCAGAGGTTTCAGCTGGCTTTGGGTTTTGTTTTTGAGGAACCAATTAAAAGGGGAATGCTTTTAAGCAAGTGGGCCACCAATTCAAAGGGGGGAATGCTTTTGAGTAAAGCAACTGACAGATTATTTTCTGGGAGGGGGGGCTTGCAATTATTGTGAAAAACAAAACAACTTTCAATTATTCTGGTCCCCATCAACAATCGGGGCGAACCACAATAAGGAAAACACTTTGCATTA